AGCGGCAGAGCTGGCGCGGGCGACGAGGCGCGGCGCTCGCCATACTTGTTATCTTTTTGGACACTTTTCGGCCTGAACGTATCGCAGTAAATAAATCGCGTTTTCATTGATTGTGTGCTCTTTCACTCAAACGAACCAAAACATAACATGGCGCGGTCGGTTTTGTAATTACGTGACTGAGCAGCTTACAGCGCGATGAAGAAAATTTTGATTCAAGAACTGACGGCGCTGCTGGAGAGGCAGACGGAGAGAGCCGCCGAGGCCGACAAGCGCCTGGAGCGTTTGGAGAGGCTGCTGTACAGAGAGCCCTCCGCGGGGACCGGGACGGGCACGACGGCGGAGTGTCAGAGTCGGGGGCTGAGCGAGGCGCTGATGAATCCGTTGGACCAGCTGCCGCCGCCCGCCGGACTGTCTGCCTGCCGGCGTCGGCGACTCCGGCCCCGCACCTGAAGTCGACCTCGACGTGCAAAGCCCGTGTCGAGTGCAGTGTGCGCGACAGTGAGACAAGAGCGGTGAGCAGGCTGGAGGACTCTGAGCCGACGCTCAGACACGCCGTGACAGTGGGGGAAACGTGGAGTGCCCATGCCACGTGCCAAGACCTCTGCGGCACCAAGGGACATTTCGTGGCCCACCTGCCGGCCTACAAGAGGGGCCGCAGGCGGCCGAATGTCGCCCATGCCGCCGCCGAAACATCTCGTCAGTTTCTTGAGCGTTGCCCTACCTGTGGCCGTCGCCAGCACGCCGGCGGAGACACGTGTCGCGCCGCTGGCGCCATCTGTCGTGCGTGTGGCGAACCAGGACATTTTGAGGTAGTGTGCCACGAGAGGGCCACCGCCGCGGCCGATCGTCCAGTGGCGACCTCTGCAGTGACGAGAGTACGCGACTCGCCGGTGGTGGCGCCAGTAACGGTAGCCGCCGGCACCGCCGTGTTGCCGCCGCAGGCGGACACGGGCCGCACCGGGAGTACTGCAGCGCAGCCCACAGAGCCGGACGGAGCTACGGACGCCTACGGAGCCTCGCCGCCGCCGGCGGGAGGCATCCCAACTTGGAGCACGGACCGAGTGCACGGAGCCTCGCCGCCGCCGGCGGGAGGCCCATCGGTAGCCACCGGCGCCGCCGTGTCGGTGCCGCCGGCAGACACGGGCCGAGGAGCCGGCCGTACCGCGGCGCAGCCCACCGAGCCGGCTGGCGCGCGCGGAGCCTGCCCGCCGCCGGCGGGAGGCTGGCCGGCGCAGACCATGGAGGCAGCCCCCGGCGTGTCACCGCCGCAGGCGGACACGGACCGCACCGGCCGTACCGCGGCGCAGCCCACCGAGCCGGCTGGCGCGCGCGGAGCCTGCCCGCCGCCGGCGGGAGGCTGGCCGGCACAGACCATGGAGGCAGCCCCCGGCGTGTCACCGCCGCAGGCGGACACGGACCGAGCTGGATGTACCGCGGCGCAGCCTACAGAGCCGGCTGACGCCCACGGAGCTTCGCCGTCGCCGACGGGAAGCCTTCCAACGCGGACCAGCCACGGAAACGAAGCCGCTGGTGACGCCGTGTTGCCGCCGCCGGCGGACACGGGCCAACCCGGGGCCACTGCGGTGCAGCCTGCAGGCCCGGATGCAGCGGCTGTAGCTTACGGAGCCTCGCCGCCGCCGGCGGGAGGCCTACAAACGCTGAGCACGGGCCGAGGCGTAGCTGCCGGCACCGCTGTGTCGTCGCCGCCGGCGGACACCGTCCGGACCGGGTGTACCGCGGCGCAGCCTACCAGGCCGGCTGCAGCTTACGGGGCCTCGCCGCCGCCGGCGGGAGGCCTACCCACGCGGACCAGGGACGGAGGTACAGCCGCCGGCTACGCCGTGTCGCCGCTGCCGGGGGACACCAGCCAAGCCGACTGTTGTGCGGCACAGCCCATCGAGCTGAGTGAGACTACTGATGTCTACGGAGCCTCGCCGCCGCCGGCGGGAGGCATGCCAACTCGAAACACGGATGGAGGCCCAGCCGCCAGCACCGCCGAGTCGCCGCCGCCGGCGGGCACCGGCCAAGCCGGCTGTAGTCATGCGGCGCAGCCTACCGAGCTGGCTGACGCCTACGGAGCCTCGCCGCCGCCGGCGGGAGGCCTGCCAGTACGGAGTGGGGACGGAGACCCGCCCGCACAAATGGTGGCGGCTCACGCCGCCGCGCTCCTCCGTACGCCGCAGGGATGCGTGTCCGCCGGTGACAAGTCCGATCGGCGCGGTGACACGAACCTCGGTGACACCACCCTCCACTCGGTCGAGGTGGTGGATGAGGACCCGCTTCACGCAGCTGCCGTCGCAGCTATGCTCGCTGAGCGGGATACGGAGTGCGACTCGCGTCTGCCGCCGCTCGTGGCCCCGAGTCCAGGGGTGACCAGAGCCGCCGCTGACCGCGACCCGTGGCCGCCACCGACACCGGAGCGACGCCTGCCGCGGACCTCCCCGTGCGACGGCGGGCGCGTCCGCTGCAAGAAGCGCCCGAGACGCCGCGGAAGAGAGCGCAGGCGCCGCCGTTTGCACCGCGCTGCGGTGGCCTTGTGCGCCCGGACCCCGGAGGGTCCGCTGTGGCGCTTTGGAGTGAAGACGATGTGATCGTCTTGGGGGGGAGGTGTTGTGTTATGGTCCAACCCCCGCACGGCTGCTGGCCGCGCCTGCGCGCGCCCCTGCCGCCGCCACCGCTGGCCGCCCCGGCTACATGCCTGTGAGCGCCTCTGCCGCCGCCAGCTGACTGCGCGCCGAGCGGCAGAGCTGGCGCGGGCGACGAGGCGCGGCGCTCGCCATACTTGTTATCTTTTTGGACACTTTTCGGCCTGAACGTATCGCAGTAAATAAATCGCGTTTTTCATTGATTGTGTGCTCTTTCACTCAAACGAACCAAAACATAACAAGAGAGAGAGAGAGAGAGAGAGAGAGAGAGAGAGAGAGAGAGAGGGAGAGAGAGAGAGGGAGAGAGAGAGAGAGAGTACCGCGCGCGCGTTGGTGAATGTTCAGAGTCATGTAATTGGCACTCACAGAGCGAGACATGGCCGGCAGAGTGAATGCCGTAGATAGAGCGGGGGAGTGGAAGGGCGGGGCGACTTTTGCTGACAAAGACAAGGACAAGGGAGGACGGAATGGCTCAGTGACGGGCGGACAGTACAGGATGGAGCGGTGGGTCGGCGCGGCAGGGGGGGGGGATATGGGCGGGCCTGGGGAAGGAGAGGAATCAGAAGGCACGCCAATGGGAGGGAGGGACCCGGAGACGGAGCACGCCGACATGAAGAGCGGGGCAGCTCGTGGGACAAACTAATGAAGATTGAAAAAATGAGAGGAGACAGCCAAGGAGGACGCACTAAGTGATTACTTGATGCAGAGGGTGTCGCTTACTGATATGCGCTATTGAATGCGGTGGGATGCATGAACAAAGTGGAAATAATGCAAAATGAAATATAGGTATAATGGACTCAGTCTCCATGGGACTTTGTGAATTTGAATTGTCTACGAAGATGAAACATTAGCTGATCAGGATCACAAGTGATAATGGAAACGTTTTGGTAGTGAATTAGAAATATTTGTGAGTTATGCGGGGAAAAATTCCATTTCAGTTCCGACTAAATAAGGCATCTTGTCCATACAAGTATAAAAAACAAGCACCTTTACAACTTAACCTGAAACGTGTATTTCTAGAGAATTGAACGAATGCGACCTGAATGCATGTTTCACAAGTTTTTCTCAATACGTCAATGGCCTCCAAAAGCTTGACACTTCAAGTTACGACCTTTATGCATGCACCAAACATGCCATCCTCTGCCTGTGTTGACAATAGACAATAGACAATAGACAGTTTATTCAGGACATTCCACTGGAACATGTGGCTATTACTGCCCGTCGTCAGTAAAACAGGTGATGATAAAATACAATAAAAGATGAAAGGGGAACACATACAGAGAGACACTCATGATGACTAGTTGCTAGTGTTCTGCTCCTCGAGCAGATGCCTGCGTAGGCGTTGTCCGAACGCCCCCGGGGGCAGTCGGGGCAAGTCCGATGGCAGTGAGTTGAGGGCAGACTTGTGATCAGCTCAGTTGAGCCGGCTCAAAAATCAGCTCAGCTCATGAGCCGGCTCAACATTTTGCCAAATTGTTGAGCTGTGAGCTGAGCCGGCTCAGTAATGCATTGAGCTGAGCTGCTGTCTGAGCTGAGCTGAATGAGCTTGAGCTGAGCTGAGCTGAATGAGCTTGAGCTGAGCTGAGCTGAGCTGAGCTGATTGAGCTGAGCTGAGCTGAGCTGAGCTGATTGAGCTGAGCTGAGCTGATTGAGCTGAGCTGAGCTGAGCTGATTGAGCTGAGCTGAGCTGAGCGAGCTGAGCTGAGCTGAGCTGAGCGAGCTGAGCTGAGCTGAGCGAGCTGAGCTGAGCTGAGCGAGCTGAGCTGAGCTGAGCTGAGCAAGCTGAGCTGAGCTGATTGAGCTGAGCTGATTTAGCTGAGCTGAGCTGAGATCCAGTTCTAGTAGGTACACTGGAAGATGATGAGAACGGATAAAAATATAAAACCGAATGCAATGTGCATTGAATATCCCTCGCCCGCACATGCCATTTTCCCATCCTAGAACGCACATGGGGGGGGGGGGGGTTGCCACCCCTTCCCGCGCCATTTCGTTCCTGTTGGAGATAGAGCTTAGCAGTAAAGACCAAAAAGATTTTTTGGGAAGAGACGAATTTAATGATACCCAGTTTTACCTTCTCAGGTCAGTCATTGACCTTCCAGGTCAGGTCAAACTAAAAAATGTTGCTGTTTTGGGTCACCGTTGGATATCAAGTGCGCTGCTTATCAAATACAGATGACGATGCTGTTTTCTGGTGCTAAGCCAGCTAGAACCTCTTTGTCACACTATCCGACCAGAATTTTGCTGCTGAGGTCATTTCAGGTCAAGTTAGGTCAAGGTCAATTATATGTGTTTGTATGGCTGTGTGTGTCTGTGTGTATACTGATGTGTGCACCGATTGTTTTTGGGTCCATATCACATGAAATCATGATCTGAGAAGCTTTTACCAAAAATGCAGTCAAAAAACTTCACAAAAAGTAAATTCAGCTTGCCTAAAACGCAATTATCTTAGCTGACCTAGGTTGACCTTGACCCTGACCTTGACCCCTGTACATCGTCGAACAATATGTTCCATGATAGGTGGGAGGTAAGACTGGCAAAAAAGGCCGAAATCAGGGTGTCAAAAGCTCACAAGGCCCATGGCAAACGCAAGATGTTGAGAATTGGCCATTTGGGTCATGACATGACCTGAAAAACAAGGTCATATCTCCGAAACCAAAAATCACAGAACCTTGAAATTTTCAGTGGACATCAAGAAAGGATAGACGAGCAGCTATACGAAAAATCAGCCTTCTAGCTCTAAAAATGTTGAGTGCAGAGCAGAAAGACTGCCTGGGGGGGTGGCCACCCCCCCCATGTGCGGGCGAGGGATATTGATACACTATAAACACTAGAAACATTATGAACTGGAAATAATATCATATACAAACCAAAGACGTCACTAGGTGAAAGGCCATGTAGTTCGACACCGCAAACTGAAGCGATCGGTCGGGAAATCGTTACATTCCTCTATTGCACCCCGTTCGCACCGTTGTACTCGTAAGCCGTTCGGTTGGTAGGTATCCTTATCCACTGCGGCGTGATGTCCCGACCTGTGTCCCGATGATTCGATGTCCATGACCAATCAGCACACGCATTGCCGTGACGTCATTGGCCGGACCCCGACACGTTACGGAGATATGGGTGGCATTCGGCATTCGGCAATGGGTGGCATTGAATTTAACTGAGCGGAAATTGAGCTGAGCTGAATTGAGCGGAAACTGAGCTGAGCTGAACGGGAACTGAGTTGAGCTGAGCTTAGCTGAGCGGAAACTGAGCTGAGCTGAGCGGAAACTGAGCTGAGCGGAAACTGAGCTGAGCGGAAACTGAACTGAGCTGAGCGGAAACTGAGCTGAGCTGAGCGGAAACTGAGCTGAGCTGAGCGGAAACTGAGCTGAGCGGAGCTGAGCGGAAATTGAGCTGAGCTGAGCTGAGCGGAAACTGAGCTGAGCTGAGCTGAGCGGAAACTGAGCTGAGCTGAGCTGAGCGGAAACTGAGCTGAGCTGAGCTGAGCGTGAGCGGAGCGCAGCCGGTTTGAGCGGAACGTGAGCTGAGCTGAGCCGCGTTAAACTGAGCGGGAGCTGAGCGGGAGCGGATAAGACGGAGTTGAGCTGAGCGAGCTCACTTTTTTCTTGAGCTGTCACAAGTCTGGTTGAGGGCAGCCGGCGCTCGGCAGGTGAACCGGCGTTTGCCCATCTCTGTACGGGATCGCGGCACGTGCAGGAGTGTGTCCTGCCGCGTGCTGACAGCAGCGTCCCGGCCGCGCGCCTCCGCCACGGTGGCCAGACTACCCGCTAGCAACTCCGGCTCGGCGTGACACCGCACTTTGTGCAGCAGGCACAGGGAGTGGTAGGTGACGAGGCTCTCCGCGCTGAGCCAGCGCAACTGGCACATCAAATCGGAAACATGATCGTACTTTTTGCGGCCGAAAATGACTTTTGCTGCGTAGTTTAAGATTTTTTGGATCCGAGAGAGATTGTGTCTGGTGCCAGCACCATACACTGCGATGCAGTATCGAACTTGTGATATGACCAGTGCGCTGACCAGCACGGAGATCACAGTGGGCGGTAGGTGCCCCCGGAGATGCGAGAGACCACCCAAAACTCCAAAGCAGCGTTTCGTGAGCGTTGTAATATGATCACCCCAGGTCAGGTGACGATCAAATATGATGCCGAGATTTTTTGCTGAGGAAACTGGGGACAACTCGTGATCACGGTATTTTACTTTAAGTTCAGGCAATGTGCGAAGATTTTGGGGGCTGCCCAACAGCATCAGCTGAGTCTTAGCGGCGTTGACTTTTAAGCCGTTGGCCCGGAACCAACGGTCAAGAGAGGCCAATGTGTCCTCCATACGAGTGACGAGTGATTGAAATTGAGATTTCTTGCCGCTTACTAGAATTTGTGTGTCGTCTGCATATTGTACTACTACTGCGCCTTCGGCAAACTGACTAAGGTCGTTGGCGAAGACGCAGTAGAGGAGGGGGCCTAAGGCTGAACCCTGAAAAACTCCGATGCTGTTGGGTAGCGGGCGGGACTTTTTGATTCCACCGTGATTGTCAGTGAAGCTGACGCTCTGAGTGTGGTTTTGAAGATATGCGGAAAACCATGAAGTGTCAATTCCGTGCGCCTGTAATTTTGAAAGGAGCTTCGAGTGGTCAATCACATCAAAACATTTGCTCAAATCCAGCAGGCAGAGAAGGGAAACCTCTCCATGGTCAGATGCGGATAGGATATGGTCGGAAATGGATGCGAGCGCGGTTTCCGTGGAATGGTGAGGTCGGAAACCGTGCTGGTTAGGAGATAGGAGATGGTTTTCGGACAGGTAGGAATAGAGCTGTTGGTGGACAGCTCGCTCTAGGATTTTGGTGATGACAGGTACGATGGATATGGGACGGAAGTTGGACGGGCTAGACAAATCACCGGATTTTAAGATGGGATGAACAAGGGAATGTTTCCAGGAGTGCGGGACGT